ATTTGTTATTTATATTTTCGAATTAATTAATTGGATTAATTAATTCACGGACCGGGTTTAATTAATTGGATTAATTAATTATTGGGCCGGACCGGGCCGAGCCTATTTGGATTTATATAAATACATAACTAGGGTTTGAGGTCCATTAAGGTTTTCATTATTCTTGCTAGCACAAGAGAAAACCCTAGAGGCTGCAATCATATTCTCTGTGTGGATCACCGTTGGAGACTGGACAATTGGACAGCTGTGGTGGCGAATCAAAGTTGTGGAACGAAAAGAAAAGCAAAAGGATTGCAGATCTGGAAAAGGTACAATCTTATCACAATTCTTAACCAAACACAATGAGATCTATTGGATGGGAATCGAAAATTTTTAATTTCCGCTGTGCATGTATAAGTAGATTCCCAACAAGAAGAATTACGGTCTTTTTAAGGTGGATAAATATTAATGCATGGATGAAGAGATTAGACAAACTAAATGTCGTTAATTCAGTTTAATGTCTAAAACGGTATAGAAATTCTGTGTACTTTTTTGGGTGAAACACTCTTTGGCTTCAACACTAAACAAAATCAGATGGAATGAAAAAAAATTTAACAACAATGTGTTTCGCTCTGTTATGGTTAAAATTTGAGATATGCTACATGTACATATTCATTTTGTCAGAATGGTGTAAGATTCATACTTGACAAGATTTTATTGGCAGTTGTGTCAAAAATATTTTTCAATCATCCAATCACAAATTGCCAAGTATGAATCTAGCACCAATCTAACAAATAAAATTTGTACAAGCAGCATAAACCTAATAAATTACTTACATTCCTATGGGGGCCAATTTATTGAAATTGTGAATTGTTTAATAATTGTCTTGTAGAATAAAAATAGTACTAAAAAGAAAAGTAAAATATTTTGTGAGAAATCAAACTAAAATAGCATAGAAGTATAATTTTAAATGAATTTTTTCAAGCAGGATTGTTATTTCTATTTCGATTGTGCTATACATGTATATAATGATTTACTTACACATAATGTGATGAGATATAATTGATTCATAATTTCTTTAATCAAATAAAAAAAATCTCATTCTATTTTGGACACTTCATAATTATGTACATCATTATGTAACAGGCGATGCTGCATGTACACTTTCTTGTACATAATGCTTCACATCCCTCTCACATGGAGGGAGGCCTATATGTAATTTATTATGCGTGAGCCCCTCTCCATATGAGAGGGTATAATCTATTATGTACACCGAAAGCGTACAAGTAGTATTAACCCTTATATAATGCTATAGTATTATGTATAAGTAACATTATTCTATTTCTAAATATGGGATTACTCACATTTGTCAAACAAATTACTCTTATATCAACAAAAGAGGAGTGATCGATGAAGGGATAACAAATGATCATGAAACTTGTGCTAAAATAGCTAGAAGAGAAGAGTTACAAATTTGATTGCTTATAATTCCTTACATAAAATTATTCTTTTGAAGAATAATCTCGATTATTGATAAGTAAACTTATCGTATGATCAGTCAATGTGACCAAGTGAAAAAATGCACAAATAAAGCACTTTAAGACTTAACAATCTTTGATCATCATCCCTCACCACCAACCAAAAGTTTTTGTTCGAACAAAATTCGCAAGCATATGGGGATCGTTGTATACACATGGCTTCACGTTTTGCGGCCAATTGTGCAAATTGGTACCCGAACATTTTCATGTATTCTTTTTGGTACTTCTTCATCCTTTTTCATCATATTGTCTTCTCTTCTCGTCCAATTGCCTCCTACTACTTTCAAATCTTTGTTTTGAGGTCTGATCCAATTTATTATTACTTGCACTTCAATCCCTGAACTTTGAATTTCTTGCAATTGAGTCCCTTTCAGTCTTTTTTTCTCCAATACCACCATTGTAACATTTCACAAATTTCTTGTTTTTATAATTAATTTAATTACTAGTTTGAATGATTGATATATAATTGATTTTGAACCCTGTGCGAGTTCAAGATTTAAAAGGTTAAGTATTTGTGAAAAATGGGGTTTAAAAACCATAAACTAGAGGAGCTTAATAAAAGTGAGGATAACTTGAAGGACTAAAAGAATAATATCATCACATATTTATCTCTAAAGATTTTAACTGATAAGTTTTAAACTTTCATTAGTCATCCAAGACACATGGTAGGAAGAAAAGTGGTTCGGGATTCTAAGATTGGGTTGATGAGTAAGGTGCTTACTTGGGCAAGAAAAGTACTCGAGGCTTTATATTAAATGGAAGAAAACCCTCATATTTTATATCACATGTGATCTTATCCTAGTGTTGAACTTTCCTCAAACCAGTATAAATGGGACAATTAAAAGTAGAAATCCTACAGCAAGTCTACTAGCTTTAGAACACTCAAGGAAGAAATTAAGTGATTAAGGTAA